TTGATGTCACTAAAAGACTTATCAGTCTTACAGATATAAAGGTATTACTGCTACTTTGTGAAGTGCTGCTTATTTTCTTTCCTCACTCTGATTGTTTAGCATTATTTTCAGTGAAATTTGTTTGATCAAGCACAGAAAAGTAGAAGAATCACTGTTACTACTTTTCAAAAATAGCAGCAAATACATAAAATGTGTTTTTACACCAATGAACAATTGGATTCTTTTTTTTAACATGTATCAACACATACATATATAAACTCCCTATCTTTCCAGGGATTTTATGCTGGATACTATTCAAATAGGAGATTTAAACTTTGTCATGAAAAATGGAAGTATTCCTTCAAGAAAAGGTGGGCCACAAAAGATAGGAGTTATTTTTGTTAAAACAGGGATTTGTTTTAGAAAGGATTTAAAAACAAATCAGTCATAATTGCAGCCATCTTTTTCCTTCTAAGGCAACTTCTGTATCTTCAAATACAAAAGGAGTATGAATAGGATGAAAGGAAACTGCAGATCAGTGAACGGTCCCTTCTATAACCCAACTCATTTCATCGAAAACGTCTTCCAGTATTATAATGCTTGAAAGGCTTCCAGTGATAATGCTTTTTGCATCCCCAGGTCCTCTTTAACATGTGTTACAAAACCTCAGTGTGCCCCTAACTTGGGAAATAAGCAAACACCTTCAGTAGTAAATCTGGCCAACACAATACACAAGTATTTGAAAATGGAGAAACTCCAGGTTCCCCAGCCAGGACTTGAACCTGTGACCCGCTGGCCCAGAGGTGTGAAAGTGCTCTCTGCAGCCAATGATATCACTGTCAGTGCTACAAACTGAAGACACGTCAAATGAATCATTGGTTGGGTTCAGTCAGCCCTCAGTTCTTCTTGGTAAATGTTCCTGAAAGCAGAAAAACGTTTCCTGTTTTTTTGCATGTGCAAGTGCACAAAGCAGATACAACCTATATGAAGAACTCTGAGCTCGTATACATTTATTCTACCATACTATACTACTACTATAAGCTTTTGTTCCTTTTAACTCTCTATATTGCATACTCTCTACATTGCTTCATAGTATCATTTCAAGCAGATAGTCTACCTTCCTTCAATGCAAACCTCACATACAAATGAGCTTAAATCTGGAGGAGGAAAGATTTTATTATCCAATATAAATACCCTTCAGCTGTGTTAGAAAAGCATCCGAGTGCATTTAGCATCATGTTCTCCATCAGGAACGTTAATGTCATTCGTTCCTTGAACTGCTCAAGCTCCTTCACAGAGCTAGCTGCGATTTGCTTCCCACTGTTGCCATGGGATTGCTCCTCCAGAATTGTCCAGCTCCATGATCAGAAATCGTTTAATTTCAAGTCTAAAGCTGTTCAGGCTGAATTTGTTCCCATTTGTTCTTACACCAGAGCTACTGTTTAATTTAAATGCTTATTCTCTATCCTTTGAGCCCTCCACGATGCTGCTATAGAGGGTGGTCTTAATGTTTGCAGCTTTTGCTCTGTGTGTAGGTTTAACACCTTACCTTGTAAGGTGGGTTTTCCATTCTCTGACTGGCCTGGTAGCTCTTCCCTGCTACTTTTCAGGTGCATCTAGTGTAACTAGCTAGAAATCTTCAAAACGAAGTCTAGTACCCGTGTACATCTCCTTACTGGAAACAATGTGCATTATTTCTCTCAAGTGCATGTTGCAGCTCATTCTCACCGGCACCAAGTAATGAACTAACACACCCCTTTCCTCTGCTCTATCATTCCATCCAAGGAACTGCAGTTCATAGCAGCAATTCTTGCTATTAGCTATTGCCTTGTATTTTCACTCTTATATTTCATTCCATTTCAATTATTATTCTAGCTGGGGAAGTAATTCCATGCCTGAAAACGTCCTTCTGCAAGATTTGCTCCGAAAAAAAGACGTTTCAGAGATTTCCACATCTTATAAATCAGGCTGTTGTCATGCACTGTTTTTTCTTCCTCATTCTTTTTCTGGGCCAAGCATCAACCAACAGTTACTCCAGCCAACATCATCAAAATTGGGGCTTTTTCAGTTGCTGCCCTTCCAAAGCATGCTCAGACAAGCAGAGATGTATGTGAGCAGCTTCAAGGACCTTGCAGCAAATTATAAGAACATAAACCCCAAGCAGATGCAAACATGGCTACATTAATACTTCGCTGGGCATCACTAGGTAGTTCTAACTCCAAGATTCTTGCTACAAGCACAACATGCACTGCTTCAACTGTAACAAAATGGTTAAGAGTAATATGAGCCCAAGCAAGGATCCAGTTATCAGAAAAAATACTTTAGTGATACAGCAACTTATTCCCATGTGGAAAGCCATTCTGCTAAAAGGTATTTTACAGTAATAAAACTACATCCAAATGTGGCCTTGAAATAATGTAACCAGGTAGAGGAAGCAGCTGCACTGTTTACAAATGAGTTATTATGGTACCAGACTGCATATACCAGGGCTGTTAAAGATAGTGACATATCATCTCAGGCACAGCATGACTTAAAACCATGTCCCTTTCACAGGTTTCTTCTCCCAGACTGTCAGTGGCCACATTTCTCTCCATTTAGCTTTTCCAGTTGCCACGAGAAAAAAAAATCTACCCAAATATCTTCTTGGAACACTAAAACAAAATATATTCTGTGAAAAATATGTCTTGCTAGCTGGCGTTCCAAAATATTCTTTAACATCAAGTTATATTCCTTGGAAACATGCATTTCCCTCTGTCCATAGTGATACTCCATTTTCCTCATCTGCCTTTCTGCCCTAAATGGCTCATATATATATATATCGTCATATTCGAGCACAGAACCATAGAGTAGCAACTCATTCTCTGATAGGTCTAATGATTCTACAGCCCATCGTTAGCAGCAGATCATGTTCAAGCAAACATGCGTATTTGCAGGTAGTCTGGCAGAGCTTTACACTGAAAATACGCTTGTATATACAAAACTGGCAACCAAAGTTTGGAACATGTGTGTAGCAGGTTGAGTGCTGTATGTGCACACACAAAAATATACATGTGTGCATTTCCAGAGACCGTTTTGACTCTGTTATGCTCAGGAACTCTGCTACCCTTAAAATGCCCTCCTAACCACACCACTAACAGTTCCACCTGAGGTTGCCAGAACCACTAGGTGCCCAAAATAAAAAGCATCTACATTTTCAAAATCTGGACTGCGGTGATTTCCCCTAATTAATGAGAACAATTTCCATTAGTTCTTGAAGGGCTGGTTTCTTCTGTTCTTTCTTACATTATTAGCCCAAGTGCAACTTCAAGGCATTAAACGGATTAAGCATTTGGAAGTTCATGCCTGGAACTCAGAGGACATTTCCTTACCTGACTCTTTCATAGGACACAGAGCGCACTGCATGCCCCAGGCTTCCCCGTATAAGCAACAGCACTCCGTGTACGTGGTCTGTTTGCCAACCAGAGGTCGACTGCAAACAAAATCATCACTCAGATGCTGCCAGCAAAGGTCCTGGTAGACTTCAGTTTCTTCAGTTTGTTCTGACAGAGAAGACAGAATTTCATCATTGCAGCAGTGTTACTTAAAAGAATAGTGGCATAATGCATAATTACCTGAACTCAGGTTAAAAAGTAGAATAACTTCACTTCTCGTGAGACTAAACCTAGACAGACTTGGTAAAATCCATTTTTCAAAGCATGAGGTAGCTCACACCCCAGGGCCTCAGCTTTGCAAAAATCTTGACAGGTTCTCATTTTCCAGTGGCACTTGACAGGTTCTCATTTTCCAGTGCCTTTTCAAAGCAGTCTGGCTTGGACACCCAAGAATTAAAACCTTTTACATGGCTAGCCACTGCTGAATGCTGAACACTCATTCAGCTCTGCTCTCACTGAAGTTAACAGAACTCCCACAAAAAAAATAGTGTTAGGATAGAGGTGTATAGGTCTGTCCATGAAACAAACCTCTAAAACGTACCGTTTTCATTTTCTGATATTGCTAGCACTGACATCAGAAAGGACATTTATTGCTAGGGCAGAACTGAACAAAAATTTTACATGGGCTTAAGGGGAGCCTGGACAAATACTTGGAAGAGATGCCCATTAACTGAACAGACAAACCACATCAGGCTAAGGAAACCCCCTGAGCTGAGAATAGCTAGCAGCTGCTCAGAGGAGGAGCAGTATTGTTTATCTGCTGTCCTCATTCCTGATCATCCACTTGGAGTTATTGTCAGAGAGAGAATGCTGCTGGGAACCACTGACACATTCTTAGGAACATTAACGAAAAACACGCGTTTTAGTCAAAGCTGGAGTATTTCACAGGCGTGCTCCTTCTGAAAAAGTTCTTTGTAGGAACATTTCCCAGTTCTAGAAATCTCTAATCACTGCTGATCAGCAGAGAGAGGGACTGAAAACTTAATCTTTTACTTGGAAGGTGAACACCTCAACACAACTGTTTTGTAAAAACGTCTAAGGGTTTTGACTCTGTTCCAGTGTGGAATGGGAAATAAGTGTTATCGCAAACCAAGATTCTGTTTTGTCTGCCCAAAACCATTAACCTCCTGCTCTGCTTTAGGGAGAGTCACACTGGCAGAGATGGGAGGAAGGAGCACTTTGTGCTGCATGAGATGATTGCTGTGCCAGCCTCAAGGATGCATGAAAATACCCTCTTGGGTTCTTGCATCCTCTTCACTTCCTAGGTGAGGCTAAAGGACAGTCCCGCTGCTGTTTTGTTTAGCTCAAGTTTGAACAGTGAAATTACTGTGGTTCTTTCAGAGTTTCAAGCAAGAGGATGGACTGCATTGATTCTCAGAAACACCACCCTCATAATACCAAGTAAAACAAGCATTCAGTCTGTACTTCTGTTTTCTTTCACAGTATTTTAGAAAAATTCAGAGTTGCAGGCACCAGAGGTCTTGGCTCTTGGGTACCAATATTAATCAAACACTCTAGCATTTCTTTCGAAGTTTTGTGTAGTATAGACAAAGCTATGCAATGTCAAAGCTGCACCTCTGCAGAGTGCTCTGGATTTCTAAGATGTTTCTAAGAATCTCAGAATATCTTTTTTTTCCCCCCAGAAATCAGTATCTACTAAAATTAAAACTTTTGTTTAAACAAAGAGTGATGCTGCAGCCCACAGCTTGAAATGTGAGCGCAATGCACTCTCAGAATTACTCGAAGAGAAGCACTGATATAATTTTTGCTGTTTTCTCCTACATCTCATTATTCCTGTTGTTCTTCCTCCTGTCGTAGAAAGAAGCGTGCGGCCACTCACTCTGGACTGAACCTCCAGGGTTTGCCCATAGCCAAACCCCAGCCTCAGTGAGACACTGAGCAGGCAGGGCCTCTTTACCTACAGGGCTGAAAGGGATGCTGAGCTGCTGAATCAGTGCTGAAAACACCCGCTGCCAGCCTCACTGCATTAAACACGTAGAGCAGCCTCCTGTCTGCAGGGGCAGGACAGCAGCCTGCAGAGTCCTGCCTCGCGGTGCCTTCTGCATTGACAGATGATGGTGGCCCAAGCATTTCCCCCCAGAACCCTCCCACTCAAGAGCCATCCAGGAACAAGCCCATCCAAGCCGGGGTCCATCAGCAGGCCCTGCCGGAGGTGGACCCAGCCTGGTAACACATATACTGGACCATACCATTGGAGTCTGCTGGCCTGATGCACCGCTTCTCTGTTGCGTCCAGAACCATGGGGTGCGTGCAGAAGCAGTTGTACGATCCTTCTGTGTTAATGCACTGGCCATCAATACAGCTGTTCGGGTCCTGACACTCATCTGTATCTTTAAAATGGAAGGAAACTTATCAAGGAGAGCCAGCACAAAGCACGCTGCATTAACATGTGTTTATATATTCCTATTTTAGGAGCAGATTTTCCTGCGTGTCTTCTGTTAATAACAACAAATTCCAATTGTTGGCAGCAAAATCCTGCCCATGGAGAAGGATGGACAGCGCAGCAGGATGCTGACGGCTAATCCTCGGAGTCCTAAGGAGAACTGTGAGTGTCTGGTAGTGTTTGCAGCCCAAGGGCAGGAGCGTCAGGGGAGCCCCACATCCAGCACAGCTGCAGTGGGTTCTCACACTGCCACCCCTTTAGCAGAGCAGAGCAGGCATTTGACGTGGGCGCACTCCCTAAAGCTCCTCCTGACAAGCTCACATGTAGGGAACAGCTTATCTGGCCACAAAAGTTCTATTCCTCAGTTTGGCTTGGAGAGGAAAAGAAGAAATTTAGCCTGAAGGGAAGAGCAGGCCATTTTACTTAAAATAAATTATATTAAATAAGAAAAAAAAAAAAAACTTTGTAAAGAACAACCTTAGAAACCCAAGGTGAAAGGCTCTCCTCTTGCGGTTTCAAAAATTACTTCCTTTCATTATGTTATTCTGCAAATTCTACAGTTTTCCGCTTATATAGCAAAAGCCAGGGTCACGGTTATGAATAATTTTCCTTTGAATAGCAGAACTAGAGGGGTACAAGGTTCTGCAGACTAAAAGCAGCATGCTTATCAATGCCCTGAACTGCAATTCCACACTGCTTATCAACTCCCTGTGGAAAATAAGTGTCCTTGAAAAAAATCAAAATCACTGTTAATTTGATTTATGACACTAAAAACAGCGCACTTACCAGATGGGCTACGATAGGCTTTCACTGCTCGTGCCCTTGCGCAGGACAGAGCACTACATTGCATCTGGCAGAGAAAAGCAGCAGGGCAGGCCTGGGCAGGAGCCGCCTCCGCTCGCTTTGCGCAGCCGCTCTCGACGGCGCTCAAGGGAGAGGCTGCTCTGGAGATGCAAACTCCTGGGAGCAATTTGCTGACAAGGGAAGCAATGAAGCCAAACCCTGCCCCTACGAGCCATCACCAGTGTCAGCCAGGGTTTCGTGCCAGCCAGGCAGAAGAGCAGGGAAATGACCCAGGGCCTCTCAAAAAGCTGCTGCGGGATTTGGCAGCCCAGGGCTCCAGCCCTTTCCGGAGTGTCGCAGCCCTGGTGGGCATCGTGCCACGAGAGGGCTCCTTTCGCCCAGCTGCATACCGTTACGGTGACAAGAGCGCTTCAAATAAACTTACCGAAGCACTGGAGCTTCACAGGGTCATAGTATGTGCCTTGCTTGCAGTAGCATTCGTAACCTGGCTGCGTATTCAAACAGAAGCCATTTTTGCAGATTTCTTGTCCAAAGAGTTGGCATTCATCAGCATCTGAAAAGAAAACATTAAAGGCTGAACTACTGCAATTCCTGCTAGTCCCCAGAGGCAAGCAGGATGGAATAAACCCTACACACTCCGCCATTTAGGCAAATGACATCTCAAACCAAGGGCCCAGGAGCAGGATACCCACAGCAAAGTAACTCCTGCGACGTGCACGACAAACAAACTGCCCCTCAGGAGAGGGCAAAGCCCGTACTACTGGAAGAGTCTGCAAATTCTACACAGTTTTCTGCTTTCCTTTCTTTCTTCCTTTGATGCCACACTGTTCTTTGCTCTGAGCAAACCAACTAAGACTATGGGCTGTGTTTTCAAAAATTATTTGTTTTATACAGCAGACTCCCATCATGAGTCTAAATAAAAATTAACTAAGCAATTACACCTGTAGCTTTTACGATTGCTCTCTTCTCCACACACAGTTTGTTGGCTCTGCTGTGCATTGTGGAGAATTCTCCCGTGCTTCATTGCTCCATGCAGGAACCCTCCTGCTTGGAAAACTTCAGCGTGGACTTCCCACCACAAAGGAATAGTTGTCTGTTGCCAAATTCAAGGCAGCAACCACTAAAGCACCTAGTGATGGCTGACAGAGAGAATCTTCTCATTTTCGAGTGAAACTGGAGGTTTCCAGCACAATATATGCCAGGTTATACACAACTTTTCACAGCAACAAGCACTTTTTTTCTCAGGCTGTATTTATGCATTTGTTACTATTGAAATTCCTCTATTTTCCTCTTTTCTACCCATTTTTTTTTTGTTTTCTAGACATACCTCTAACAGTCTCCTAAAGCTAGGCTGGTATTAAAAATGGCAATACAAAGGTACAGTGTGAAGTACGCAATTCCACTTTCAGTTAACAGCTGTGTTAATCCACTGTCTTTTATAGATTTACTACCTATTTACCTGCAGGTAGCACACATTGTAGCCCCCAAATGTCACTTTTATCTGTCCAGCAGTTTTAAAGGTGAATTATTCAAATGCTTACTTTTCCAGAAGAGCTAAGAAAGCTATAAAACTGTTTATTTTTACAGTAGTTTTTCCAGACACTGAGTGGCTTTAAACATGAAATATTTTAAGATGGATTGTTTAGCAGAAAGAGGACTGCAAGGCTTAATCAAAAATATCATGTAGCTGCATGTCTGGACCTCTTCTTACTATGGAAAATCATACGTGTCCTGAGGAAAAAGTGGGGGTGCTTGAGGGTATTAGAGTCAAATGCGACTAGCTGAGTACATTCACTTCTAACTGATAATTCGAAAAACAAAAAAGGGGGCCAGGAGTTGGGGCTCAGCCTGCAAGAAGGAGCTTGTGGACAAAAATAACAGTAACATCGGAAACATCGAACAAGTTAATGTAAGAGTGAAAGACCACGTTACTAAAAGTTTGCCCAGTTATGCGTCTGTCTTTTGTGCCATTTCTAAGGATACAGAATAAACTTACTCAAAACAAAAAAGTTTTACTATAGCAAGGATTTGTGGAAGATGCTTCCAGATATGAACTATTTCCACACTTCAATATTTATAGCAATTAGAAGTGTTACCAACTCTGAGGCAGTACAATGGAAACAAAGAAGATACTGTGTGAGATGTATTTGGACATATTCTGCACACAGCATATCCCAAAAGAATATGTAAAAGCCTTAGATGTATAAATAGCACACTTAATCCCTGAATTAAAATACTGCACACAGATTTCACAATGCGACACAATCCACACAGATTGGATTCTCTAGGGATGGCTCCATGACACTGTTCTGACTCCTTTAGAGGTAAAATTGCTTGTCTGACTGGCACAGAGATGGTTCCTGCTACCCTCATTCTCAGCTCTGGAGTCACTGTGACATTTTGTTCTTGACTCCCTCTACAGCTGGTGGGCAGAGGGACATCTCCAGAGAGTTCATGCAGCCCATTCAAATGTCTAAATTAGTTTGGGGGAATCTGAGTACCTTGTAATTTTCAGTATCTTTTCTGTGTCCCTGTGAGATAGGGAGGCTGTGTTATCCTCGCCATATGAAAAGGTACAGAGAAAGACTTGCTGAGGATATAACACAAGAAGATGTCAACAGGGCAGGGAACTGAGCTTCACCACGGTTTACTCACTTCCCTGTTAGGAAAACAGGGTCCTGGCTCATGAGGAATGACAGTGCAAGAAAGTACATGTAATAATCATCAGGAAATAGTATGTGTAATAATTGTCAGGGAAAAAGAAAACAAGAGTCTATAAATTCCATTTTCTCAGAATTAGGTCAACAGGTTAATGACACGGAAGGAAACAACTTGGACAAATTCTTATCTACCAACCAGGTGAAAATATAGCTCTATGAAACAATTTTAAAATAGTATATTTTATGTGATATTTACTTGATTTGTCAAACAGTAGATCCAATAGAATCAAATACATAAAATCTGTATATTTTAAAACACTGGAGCTGCTATGTGAAGCAAAGGTGTTGATTTCATTTTAGCTAATAGAAATGCAGTGTATTTATACCTTATGCCACAGAAAGTAAATTTCTTGAAAAGGACTTTCCCTGATCTCATTTTTCCTTCATAGTGAAGCCAACCCCCTGCCTCCAAACCCATAGACTCTTTCTGTTGTTCACTTGCCTTCCCTGAGTCTTTAGTTGAGTAATCAATTCGTGCAGTTTTACAATTATGATATCATTCTGTGTTTCCTATCAGTTTGAACTTTGTTCTCACTTGCAGGTCTAATGCTTAGCAGAACATTTTCTCTCTCCAACTTGCAAAACAAATCTACGGATTTAAGATGCTTTGTATGGGGACATGTATGTGAGGTTTGTGGCTTCAACACTTACAGTATACAATACTTGATCTAAATTAAAATGAAATATTATAGATACAGGAAAATTGACATTCTAGCAATCAAACATGATGATTTTCAGTGAAGTTTCACGTCACAACGTTGTTTTGTCACCTGGTGACATTTGAATGAATATGTTTACATTGCTGGCTCACGTTTCTGGCCAATCATCTACTGGAATTTTGGAAATAATTAAACTTAATAATACAAGTCTGTGCTGACCTTTGTAATTCTGAGAGAGAAGTCCGTAAGATGATTCTTCAGACAGGATGAAACCTTTCCCCTCAGGACACAAGTCGGTAAATTCAGCTAGGAATGGGAGAGAAAACAAAAATTATGTTGCTAAGGAAAAGTTATTCCCATAATACCTCTTTCAGTGTACTTTGAAAAATCTGAGGCAACCTTTTGCCCTGTTCACGGCTACCAAGCAGTTACACACACATTTAGCTACAGCTGCAGACAACCCTACTTACCCCTGCCCCCAGGTAGCTTGAAAAACCCACCACATCACAGAGCTCCATGCAAACTAACTTCTCTTGCTTCTTGGCAGGACCAAGTTTAATCGTGCCCTGCAGTTAAAACAATACCAGCAGCCAAATTATTTTAATTAAATCTAGCTTGGGCCTCTCTGGGTTATTCTGCAAGCTGCAATCTAGACATACTCAACTGAGGTACAAAACCCTGTACACATTCTTCAGTCTTTGTACAGGAAAACACTAATTGACTGCAATAGGAGAAAATGGTGTGGATTACAGGGAGAAATTATGTAAAGTGTCTTGGAGACTATACAGAATCAAAGAAACTTATCCAAGCAGAGAGACAGCTTTCCTAAAGCATTTCATTATGGTTTTGCTGATTCTGAAGTGTAGTTCCAACAGGAACTAAACAAGATGATACATTTGTGTGGAAAGTAATCTTTAGCATTTAATCTCAGAAAGTTTACACATGTTCTCTCTTACGTGATTTCTTCCAGCTGGATTCTGAATTTTAGCCATTGCTGTTTATGCTTCAAATACTGTTTTCAATATTTGTGACAAATATCATATGGTTGCATTTTTCTAATTTAGTATTTAGAGGTTATACACTGGTCTGCAGACAACATGATTAACTGCACTGTTCAGTAAGTAGCAAAACATAAAACTGATGTCATAATATATATGAGTAATTCATAGCATTGTAGAAACATTACAAGGGATAGATGAAGCCTCAAAAATACTGTAGTACTTACCTTGTTTTCCATCTTTTGGGAAAAGTTTCGAACGTTACTAATGGCCTTTGGAAAAAGCTTCTGTGAGAAACTTTTTTTTTTTTTTTAAATCATGTGGAGATAACGCTGTCCATTACCCGGCCATTTTTATCCCTGGTGCAGCTGCAGTGAAGCCAATGTGTTCACACCAGGAATTAACTATTCCTATTGACTTTGCCTCTGTGGAAGCTTCACATGGGTAAGTTAGGACTGAATGCCACAAAACGTGGCCTTTAACGAATAAGCCTTCTGTGGAGGCCAGGCATGCTAATATTAACAGAAACACAATGCTGCACCAAGGTACGAATGGACAGAAGGCCTCCTCTTACCAGTTCCAAAGACAGGGCATGGGAAGATTTCACAGTTATCACCCCAGCCAGCACCCAGTGTACAGCAGCATTCTTGTTTCGTTACGTTGGATGTAAGCACATTGTCGCAAAAATTAGCATCGTTCAGGTTGTAGTAGCACTCCTTCTTTCCATCTTCATGTTGGTCAGTTGCTGTTGGTAGGTCTAAAGGTGAAAAGAAAACAAGTAAATAAGACAACACATAAATTGAATTGGTTTTGATAAGAGAACCCGACTAGCCATGGTACCCCTGTTTTTCACCACAGTGAGCAGCACAATTAGAAGAGAAGAAAATGGTTAAGTACATTATTTTCTCTTAGGAAGAATGATGGTCGAACTTTCCCATGATTTCTTCACAAATTTTCTCCCGCCTGGGTGCCTGGGGATTGCTTACATTTGTATGTTCTTCGTTTTTAAGCTGTGCACACTCTTGACCGTGCTCAACTACTGACGTAGTGCTTTTTGTGTATGAATCTTGAAGCTCTTCACAGAAGCGAATAAACATTACAGCCTCAATTTACACAGAAACTAAGCCACAGACTGAAGAGGCCTGAATTCAGAAAAATGAACATTTTCAGCCCTTTTTAATGCTCCTGTGAAAGAAGAATGCTCCACACTGTTGAAAACAAGGTCCTTTGTGATTTTTGCAAAAGAACTCTGTGACTCCAAAATGAGGAGAGGAATAGAAGAGGAATATCAAGTTAATCGACTCTGCATCTTCCTTGAAATTAGGTTTAGGGGGCATAGAGCCAAAAAATGGTATTTTCTTTTGCAGTTGAGTGGCCCCTCTCGCAGATACAGGAGGATCGACCATAAAATACTGTCTCTACAGATCCAATAAAAATCTATTAAGCAATAGGCAAAGACATTCCTCAAGTAAGCCCCTGCTGAGGTATACCAGGGAGCGAGTTTGAAAAGAAATGCTTTTTCAAAAGCTTTGGCATCTAACCCACCTTGCACCTGCACAGAAACTCTCTTCAAGCGCTCGTAAGCGAGGACCACGGTGCAGAACCGCTACTCACACATGATCGACACGAGGAGCTTCCCGTAAGCCCCCCAGAATGTAAAACAAGTGCCACAGTTAAAGATGCTCAAGCTTCTGGATCTAAAGCAAAGGTGCCTTCAGTAACTTAACACATGTAGTTCTCAAGGTGACCAGGTTATCTCCTTTACTTTTTGGGAAATTGTTTATGCTTTGCATTTAACAAGTGGAATAATTAAATCCATAAAAAAACTACTGAAAATTATTCCATGTTGGCTGATTTTCCATTGTTTGACATTTCAGTCATCTGTACTCAAGCTGCTGCAGAACTCTGCAAGGAGGAGACGTTTTTGAAACTAACACAGGCCCCCAGTGGAAACTGAAGCCTATTTTATGCCTGATGAGAGCATGTTTCAAAATACTGGAAGATTACGGAGACCCAGAGAGTTGTGATATTTAAGCTACGTTTGTTTGCTTTGCTGCTCTTTTCATTCATTCATGTTTTGTTC